GGGAAGTAAAACATGATTTGTCAGTAAAGTACATCTTTTACCCTCCCACTGTCCTAATGGGTGTGACCCCACGAGGAAAGTTGACCATTGAGCAGGGTTGATGGTTTATCCCTTGGGGCCATGTGGCAGGGGTGAGGAGTGAGCACCACCTCACTCCTGCCACATGGACCTCAAGGGATAAACCATCAACCCTGCTCAATGGTCAACTTTCCTCGCGGGGTCACCCATAAAGACAGTGGGAGGGTTAAAGCACCAGGAACTGCTAGCTAGAAGTGACTAGACAAGAAATGAGTTTTCTATGGTTTAAAATAATAACAATTAGTGCCAAAACCCATGGATGAAATCAGGAACCAGAATTTTATGCATTTTCTTCCTAGACTCTGTAGCTTCATGAATGTCCTGTTTTTGATCTAAAGTCTATGATCTGCTCGAGCAGAGACATAAACTCTCTGACACAGGCCTAATCTACATGAGATAGTGGCCAAGGTCTTTCATGCACTCTGCTCATCTGAACTGCTTCACCTCTGTTACAGCTCAAGACGAAGAACTCTCTTGATAAACACATAATCAAACAACTTTGTTATTACCAATAATAATGTGAGCCCAATGTTCAATCAATCTGTGGAATGACAATGTTATTACTTGATATTATAATCCTGTGATCAGTAGGATTTTACAAGTTATTATAATCCTGGTGCACTAGACACTGATGACACGTAATGCTAAAGTCACACTACACATTTCCTTTTGTCTGATCCAATCAGAACCTTTGTTTCTGACGCGAGGCGTGTTTTTCTGTGGTGTCTGTATAAACCCTCGTTTGCATGTCAAATTCTGATTCGCCAGTTAACCAAAATATGACAGTTATAAAAACTATTCCACGGCACCTTTTCTTTAGTTCAAAGTGTTCTAGAGAAGTCTCGGACAGGCCATCCGGACTTCCTCTTCAGCCAAAAGAACCTCGACAAGCTGGATAAAATCTGTTGCGAGTTACATCTGACCGCAACGGTTCCTTCAGAATAAAAGCTGAACCTCACGACCCCTTCAGGGTCTCGCTGACGCCAATGATAACCTGTCGTGGCCTGGAAGCATTCCAAGACTAGTTTGGTCGGCACCGCTGCTTTTCTACCGGCTTCGGTTCCAAGGAGGGTCCAAGAGGACCTCGACATTCTGGATCTAATCGGAGGCGTCTCCTGGGGTACGTAGACTGACAGATGGTGTTTCATGTGTGTTATCAATCTCCAACTAAAGTTTAGAGCGAAACATTCACTCCCACTCAGAACTAAATGCTTCTCCGGATCTGCTGGTTCTGATAGCAACATTACACACACACACACACACACACACACACACACACACACACACACACACACACACACACACACACACACACACACACACACACACACACACACACACACACACACACACACACACACACACACACACGCACACATGCACACACCATCATCTCACATCTCACTCCACCTTAGTTCCATCAGTACACAGAGTGTTTAAGTTAGTCTTGTTTAAACTGTGTAGAAATAAATTTCTTAACTATTATAAACCTGACTCTCTCTCTTTCCTTGGAGTTAATACGAAGTGTCAAGTAACCCCTGCAATAAAAAGTTCTGATCTTCTGGTTAAAATATTCAAAGATCCATCAGATTGATATTTCATATTTCTATGGAATCTCACATTTTATGGTTCATAAGTAAGATGTAAACTACCCACCCTTTACAACTCAAACATTTTCCACTCTCAGACTGAAAAAAAGCATAATCACAGTGGTACAGACAGTAAATTCACAGCCATCTCAGAACAACAAGGCCTTGTTGATTTAAGAAAACATTTGCAGTTATCAGAAATCCTGGCAGCTCGGCGTGTACCACAGTGCACTTCAGGAATAAAACACACTCTGCCTAAGAGCAAGATGAATCATACAGGCTGTCCAACAGAGGAATGGAGCAACAGGGGAGTAAAATTGTAAAATTGTTCCGTGTGGCTCAACATCAACAGCAATACCTGCACTCTGGTGTGTATGCATACAGAGGGGGTGGGGGAGCATTCTTTTCAAATGGCAGTTGATTGGTATACAGTTGATTGGTGAGGATGCTATTATGTCCAGTGACCAACAGGAAATGAAAAACAAAAAAAGAACAACACAAGGCAGAAGCAAAGTAAGGCAGAAGAATGAGAAACACACATTTTTGAGATAATTGTGTCTGTGAATAACACAGAAGACAAGCCAGATCGAACAAAGACACATTTGCTTTAACAGCGTGACGTTCCACGTCATTTTTCTGACTCTAAAACAGAAAAAACACAAATGTTTTACATCTAGAAAATCTTGTGATATTTCAAAAACAAACTACGCCCAACATTTTCAGTCTTAAACATGGTAAATTCAAGCACTGATACCCTACAAGGTTCCATAACAGATTCCTACTAACCTTTGACCTCTAACCCCTAATCTCCTTGTTTAAAGAAGAAATTAAGTGTTATTTTTCTCAGAGGGCACCATCTACGGTTCTGTTCATCACTTTTATGGACAGAATTTCTAGACGCAGCCGTGGTGTGGAGTGTGTCGAGTTTGGTGGCAGGAGAATCTCGTCTCTGCTTTTTGCGGATGATGTGGTCCTCCTAGCTTCATCCAGCTCTGACCTTCAGCTCTTGCTGGGTAGGTTCGCGGCCGAATGTGAAGCGGCTGGGATGAGGATCAGCACCTCCAAATCTGAGACCATGGTTCTCGACCGGAAAAGGGTGGCTTGCCACCTCCGGGTCGGGGGAGAGGTCCTACCTCAAGTGGAGGAGTTTAAGTATCTCGGGGTCTTGTTCACGAGTGAGGTTAGGAGGGATCGGGAGATTGACAGGCGGATTGGTTCGGCGTCTGCAGTGATGCGGACGCTGAGCCGATCTGTCGTGGTGAAGAGGGAGCTGAGCCAGAAAGCCAGGCTCTCGATTTACCGGTCGATCTACGTCCCAATCCTCACCTACGGTCATGAGCTTTGTGTAATGACCGAAAGAACGAGATCGCGGATACAAGCGGCCGAAATGAGTTTCCTCCGTAGGGTGGCCGGGCTCAGCCTTAGAGATAGGGTGAGGAGCTCGGACATTCGGGAGGGACTCGGAGTAGAACCGCTGCTCCTCCGGATCGAAAGGAGCCAGTTGAGGTGGTTTGGGCATCTGGTCAGGATGCCTCCTGGACGCCTCCCCGGGGAGGTGTTTCGGGCATGTCCTGCCGGCAGAAGGCCCCCGGGTCGACCCAGGACACGTTGGAGAGGTTACATCTCCAATCTGGTCCAGGAACGCCTTGGGGTCCTGCCGGAGGAGCTGGTGGACAAGGCCGGGGAGAGGACGGCCTGGAGCTCCCTAATTGGGATGCTGCCCCCGCGACCCGGACCCGGATAAGCGGAGGAAGACGAAGACGAAGACGAAGACGAAGGGTTGCATCTCCAGCCCCTCTGGCTACTTCAATAGTAGCTACTTCAATATATATATATATATACACACACACACACACACACACACACACACACACACACATATATATATATATATATATATATATATATATATATACATATATATATATATATATATATATATACATATATATATATGTATATATATATATACATATATATATATATATATATATATATATATATATATATATATATATATATATATATATATATATATATACACATATAAATACATATATATATATATATATATATATATATATATATATATATATATATATATATATATATATATATATATATATATATATATATATATATATAACATGCATAAACCCTGAAAGGGGAAAATCTCCAGATTGCTGCTGTAGGATGGTATGATTCATCATCACTCAAAATCATTATTTGTGAATAAGCCACCTGTCACAGGAAATATTTGTGCTTCAGGAGAATAAAACATTTTCAGTCCACCAGGAGGACGGCCGATTGCTCGGCTTAGTCTGAAATGTTCTCCTAATGGTCCTCCCTTACCACAAATAAAAATGACTTTAACATTATCTCTGCTGCATGGGATGGGGATCTGGAGACACAAGCCACTTCATGTTAGACTCATGGACTTTTAGAGAGACTGGATGTCTGGTTCGCAGCTTGTCTCATCCACAGGTTGAGGTGTTTTCAGGTGAGATGCTCGACCTCCAAGTTATTCCTGATGGCCAGGTCAAACTCTTGAACAGGAGCTGGCATTAATCAATGAGTGTTAATGAAGGCGAAACTGCTAAATGAGCTAAATAAAAGCACCAACTGAAATGTAACCTCATCTGAATATATATTACTGGAGAATGAAGTTAAAGTCATGTAGTCTAATTACGTTTGATGTCAAAAACTGGTCATGTAGTACTTTTTGTTTGCTTTGTTTTCTCATTAGGTCACTCTCTCCTCCAAAATGCCTTTTCTAAGCAAACGGAGTCCCTTTGTTTGAATTCCAGACTTGTCTTTAACATATCGCGTAACTCACGCCCGCTGGCTGTGAAGAGTTCTGTTGAAATGTTTAGCCTGATCAATTATCTAACTTTGGCCTTTAATTATTACAAGTGTCTGGTTAATGCACTTAAATAAAGGTTAAGAAACAATAAATGCAAAATACAAAGGTAAAAGAGCAGATTAGACTAGCCCAAACTGTTGATTAGGGCCCAAAAATTCTTCCCGGAATTCTTTTTTATTTTGAATGTTTCTACAGAAAAGCCTGTCTGATTTTTCCAGCTCCCTTTAGAGTGAAACAAAAAATAAAAAGTGCATCAGACTTCCATATTCCCACAACATCCCTGAAAAAAACATCACTGGCAGCTACTGCAACATCCATGCTGTTAGAACGTCTGCAGGTCGGTTCCTTTCCCCAAGTCAGTGTCAAATCTGAGTTGATCTGTCAGCTGTTGATCTTTAGAGTCTGAGGTCTAAATTTTTTATGTAAAAAAGAGGACTAAAGGAAGAAGCATGACAAAAGCAGGAGTTTACCTCAGACTCAAGGTCAGTTGTTCATCTTTGGCTCTCAGCAGATCCCCGACAGAAAACGTGGCACTGCCCAGGAAGCTGCTCTGTTGGGACAGCACAGAACAGACAAAAACTAGGTGAGTATTTCTATTTTCTAAAGGCAAACTAGAATTCAAACAATTACAAGAGATGACTGGATGACTTTAGGTGGGAAACAAACAATTTACGAGCAAAAAGCCCTTTAAAATTTGAATTTGAAAAGGTCAGAAAGCATAATCCTAGAGTCAAAAGACACTTGGACGTACAGTTTACCCTCCTTGTTTGCATTTTTCTGTCTAATGTGATCCCATCATTCCTATCTTGGTGCGCTGACGACATGTGTTTGCTGCAGGCATGATATGAACAAGGAGTGTCAGAGCACGAGAACTGGGTCATGGAGGGAGAAGTACGGGACAGGCCCATCAATAACCCAGTGAGATGATCTACATTCAGCGAAAACACACACACACACACACACACACACACACACACACACACACACACACACACACACACCCTCATGGGGACCACCACACACACGCGCGCTCTGCACCTGCACACAAAAGCTATTAACATCCAAACCCGCGCTACAAGAGGGAAGGGTTACGATAGGACGAGGAAGCAGGTCTGCAGCACAATGCAGACAATTACCTCCAGTTACAAAGGTGTGTCCAGATAATTCAGCGTGCAAAGTAAAAGACTGTTTTTTGAGGATTTCCAGGATGCTCACACATTTTAAACAGCTACAATATGGCGTGTGTTGGCCACAAACACAGTGTTTTGTTGTGTTTTTCCATTTTAGTGTGTCTGATGGTTTATTGATCACTAAGCCGACTAAATGAAACAACACAAAGTCTCTTCTTGTTTTTGTTTTATTGTACACCGCTGTCGGAGGCTCCACGTTGCCTCTGAAGATGAGAAAAGAATTGTTTGTTTTCGAATAAATGTAAATGAGTTTCAGGTATTGGAAGCAAACAAACAAAGCTTGTGCTTCTCCTCTTTTAGAGCGGGCGGTGCAAACAAAAACAACCATTCAGAACAAGATGAATGTTGTTTTATAATAAATACTGGCCAGATCTGACATCTGTGAGGTTATCGGTGGTTAACAGTTTCATAGTGGTCACTAGTGAATAAGTGTTTTCTAAGCTATATTCTTATGGATGTGTGTGTGTGTGTGTGTGTGTGTGTGTGTGTGTGTGTGTGTGTGTGTGTGTGTGTGTGTGTGTGTGTGTGTGTGCGTGTGTGTGTGTTGGTTTACGTGCATACACGCTGCAACATTAGACTCCATGAACCACCACCCATCTGCAGTGTATAATAATACAACAGTTTAACAATAACAATATAATATTTTTTTAAGATGCAAAAGGGATGTTTGATATTGGCTTTTTTCCAGTATCCGACACACCAGTGTAGTCAAACTCTTCATTTTCAATAACAATATAAACCAATACCAATATACATTTGGGTCTTCTCTCATAAAAAAGAAAAATTCAATAATTTTAGGTAACTAATATGACATCTTTTGTCATTCATCACAGCTACTTCAGTTTAATCTCTAAACTTTACTTCAGATCTGTCATATTATGACATTTAGAGTGCGAGGAGAAGTAGCTGGAGAGGTTGATGTATAATACGAGCATAGCTTTTTAAAAGTTGTGTTATCATAAAGGAAAAAAGTTGTGTCATTAAAGCAACACTGATAATTTCCAATGTAATATTTTAACAGGGAGCCCAAGACTCCTCCCCTTCCGCTCGGTTCATGGGTCCCCGGAAGAATGAAAACATGAACGTCAACGGGGCTAAAAGAGTCATTTTCTAATCTGCTTTACCTAACGCCCTGAATCGCATGTATGTTGTACTTCAATTTAAATGAAATGTAATGATGTGTGTTTCACCTGTCATGTACTTTGAGATTTATCAGTTCGTGAAAATTCGTAATTCCTGTGACTACAATTCAGATGTTGACACGTCGCATATGTGACATCCCCACAGACTCTCCTCTGCCTCTGTAGCGTAGCAGCTACTTACCAAATGGCGAGATTTTTGAAGGTTATTTCCTCCTGAAAGAGATTTGAAGTTTGGTAAACTTACAGACATTTTTTGTCCGCTTTTCTCCGTGTCTGGTTTGATGATGTCACTTTGGTGATGCGCATTTGTAGTCTTGCACATCTTGTCACACAAAGCCACCCTTCGAAAATAAGTACATTCTTGGCTTTAAAATTCACGGACATCATATATGAAATCTATGGCACATGAAAAATGAGAATAGAAAATAGTGTTTTAAGCTCCAATGACCCATGGTCCGGAAGATGGGCATGACTTAGGCTTTCTATGCCAATATCAATCAATAATAATGGTACACAGATAATATCAGACATCCCTAATCTATAAATCGTACGTTTTCTAGTCATTTAGACCTCTCGAAACACATTCACATCCAATGTCTTACCCAAGGGCGTTTTGTCAGGTGGTGGGATCGACCCACCAACCTCCTGATTGGCAGATGCGGCTGTTTTTATTGAGCCGCTGCTGCATGATTAGCAACTTGTGCTAACGTGTCTAATAAAGTAGTTGTTGAGTTTGTTAATGTCAAAAGAAAAATATCCAAAATGAGGTTTTCATTCTTGAAACAATCTTAGTTTCTTCAAAGCGAAGTCACATCTGACTATAAAAGACCAGAAATGACTCTTGAAATGTGTTCAGCAGCAAAGACGAAAAGGGCTTTTCCAACTATCTCGTTTGAGCTGACAGTCAGCCACAAAACTAATTAATCATTCAGCAAAGACCCAACCCATTTCATTCCACCATTTAAAAATTAAAATGTCATAAAGAAAAACAGCAGGCAAGATTTATCACTTTAGTTGACCGTTTCCCATAAATGAATCAATTAAACAACTAATTATGTGTCGGTAGTTGCAACAAACCCCTTTTGACCATTTCCCTCCTCTTGCATGATTAAAATTGTTCTCCGACTATCGGTTTTATTAGTTCAGCCTTACTACTGTCACAGCCCATCCTGGCATTGATGTGATATGAAAACAAACTCTACTTAACTGCACTCACTAAGGCAAGAAGGTTTAAAAACAGCAATTTCGCAAACATTTCTACAAAAATAGAGCACTTTTAGAAGATTATCTGTGAATATCTGCATTGGCAAATAAAGGTAATGGATTATCAATGAGTTAAAGACCTTTTATGAATGTTCGTGTTTCAGAAACCAAGGGAGATTCCAAGGTGCTTTCTTTACTCAAACAGAAAAATTCAACAAAATAATGTTTTTGTTAGAGAAATCCAGTTTACAAATCTCTTCCTTGATCCTCTTTAGAAAGGGTCATGGAGGTTGTGGTTGTACAAGTCCCCATGCAAGATGTTTTGATCACATTCCTGAAGGAGTTGAATGTTGTTAACACATTTAGGGATTCGATTCAAAGCTGAAAATCTCAGAAATCTCAGTTTTATTTATTTCTCTCAAAGATGATTTATTTTTTGGTTTTTTGGTAATTGGCTTGTTGTTGTGTAGCACCTCTTAGGGTTTTACAACCCACAAGGGAAATATTTGAGTTAATTTTTTTTTCATTGGGCCAGACAGAAAGTCAAACACAAAATTAGTGTAAAAAAAAATCCAGGAACTTTCAAAATAAAAGTCATGCGGATTTGTAGTCGGTAAATGGCCTGTGCTTACATAGCGCCTTTTAGGGCTGTACAACCCCCCAAGGCGCTGTACAACCCCACCACACACTGATGGTGATGAGCTATAGTCTCAGCTGCCCTGAGGCACACCAACAGAGGCGAGGCTGCCAAACACTGAAGCCACCAGCCCCACGGCCACCACCAGCAGTCAACACGGGTTAAGTGTCTTCCCCAAGGACAAATCACCATGACAGACTGAGTGAGACTCTAACCCACAACCCTCCAATTAAGAGATGGACACTCAACTCCTTTGTCACCGTCGTCTTACTCACCTCTTGGTGAAGAGGACTTTTTTGGTTTAAGCGAGGAGTAAAAGAATCAACAAAAAAACGCATAAGGATCACAAATGTAAAGGCGTGTCTCATCTATACCCAACATAACCAAACATTTATATAATTTAGATTAAAGCATGAAAAAAAATTGTAAAAACACATTTTAACCTGATTTAACTGAGTCCTTTAAGACTTATTTTCAGTTTAATGTTGTTTTATTTTGGTTTCCCATCCAAAATGAAGGCAGAAGTAAACACCTGCTGCACATAAATGTCACATGTCAACTCTGTTCGTGGATCAACTCAAATAATAGTGACTCAAAATTTCTGTATGATCCCACAATGAAAGTTTTTTCACTGAACCATGAGAAATGATTGAAATAAAAAGCTGTTAATGAAATTTTTACCCAGCTACAGTTTTAAAGCAACTCATTTCATCTGAATAGCTGCTGGTTGGCTTAGTTTTTAACACAAATATTTCTCTGGTACGTTCAATTCAATTCAATTCAATTTTATTTATATAGCGCCAAATCACGACAAGAGTCGTCTCAAGGCACTTCACATAATAAACATTCCAATTCAGGTCAGTTCATTAAGCCAATCAGAAATAATGTTTCCTATATAAGGAACCCAGCAAATTGCATCAAGTCACTGTCTAGTGTCAGTGACTATACAGCAATCCTCATACTAAGCAAGCATGCAGCGACAGTGGAGAGAAAAAACTCCCTTTTAACAGGAAGAAACCTCCAGAGAATCCTGGCTCAGTATAAGCAGCCATCCTCCACGACTCACTGGGGATCGAGAAGACAGAGCAGACACACACACACACACACACACACACACACACACACACACACACACACACACACACACACACACACACACACACACACACACACAGACAAAGACAAAGTAATGTGTCTATAGTTATATTGTGATTTCTTAGTAAATATTCTGTTTGGTGAGAGATAAACTTTATTGTATTTATCCTAGTGGATCTATAATTAAATGGATAAACTAGTAGTAGCACATCCAACGTCAAGGAAAGCAAAAAGTTATTATCAGGAGAGGGAGAATGTTTAAGTGGTTAGCAGCAGTGTGCTA